AGTCTTTATAAATGTAAAATAATTATATATATATATATATATATATATATTTAGTTGGATAGATGTGAGTTTGTGACCCTGGGTTTCACGCTTTAGCGATCGTCAGACAAGCGTGAAACCCAGGGTCACAAACTCACATCTATCCAACCAAATATGTTAGCTCTATCTCTGATATTGAGCGCTTTCTAATAAGTACCGCGCATATAATATATAAATAATTATACATACTTATATTTATTTATATTTATATACACTTTCACATATATATATATATATATATATATATATATATATATATATATATATATATATATTATTACACTTATAAAAACTCCCGAAAGTCCATGAAGTCCTGTAGTTTTCGTTTCGGGTAATTCATCAACATAGTAATATTTGCATATCTCATATTGTTTAGATTATCCGCCCCCATCACCAAATAATAAATCTTGGTAGAGTCTTTAGCTCTCTTAGGATAGCCTTGCTGTATAGGTTGAATAAATCTGGGGAGAAGACACATCCTTGTCTTATGCCCCTGACGTCCGCAACTCGTATCTTGAATTGACCTTTTTAATATTCACTAGTAGTAACTATTACTTTGACTTACATTGGGTCTCTTTTTTGGTTGTCAGACTATATTCATTTCTCTTTAACCACCAAGACATATTCCCTCCGAAGACAAAAAAAGAAATCTGCGTTACAAGATATTTTATAACAACAATCAGCTATATTATTATTTGTTTCTGAATAAGACGTGTTTGCTAACTCTCCAATGACACCGTTAGTTAAGAAATGTTGATTGGTAGAAATATAACTATCTTTTCACCGATATGGCTTCACACATTGACTACATTTTTAGCAATTTATGCAGAATTAAAAATAGTGCAATTTTCTCTCCTTGGTAATGAATTCTACTTCAACTTTTTTTTTTCACAAGATCAATATATTTATGTCTTTCACCAATAAATGTCGTTGAAATAATAGCAACTAAATAAAAACCTGACATTTTAAAAAATGTCAGTGTTCATAGAAAATCTTTGTTCACATACTGTTCGATTTTTTTTTTATTGGCAGTGACTCGGGTTATACGTTGGTCAATAATAATGAAATGTGATATAAGAAATGCTTATTTTTCAGTATGATCTATTTCCATGTCAATGCACTTAATCCAGCGTTTCTCTATAAACTGAATATCATACACTGAAAATTTCGGGGTTCAGTATTAATTTCAATTTCAGCCACCGCGACGCGAATGAGTTGGAACTTTTATTGTTGATAACTCGAAAATGGTAGATTTTATCAAAATTTCTTTGTTATATTTTAATTCAGGATGTATATTTACACCTAAATGGAACTATTCGGGAAATTTTTACTAGAAACTAAGAGCGGGGCGTGAACTGCAAATTGACTTGAAATTAATTCTGTCACCCAAAAGTTCATAACAAAATTCAGTTAAAACCTGTGTTAGGATACAAACTAGATAGAAAGCGTAGATGAAAGCGGTATTTTACGGCAACAGATGACGAGATATATTTCGCCGGCATGACATCACAACTCAAGGGGATTCTTTTTCCTTAATTTTTTAATCTTCAATTCAATCAAGGCAATAAAGCCACTAAGACGCAAGGGCCTTCTGGGTGTTAGACAATATGAGGAAAAACACTATGAATGAGAGTGAACAATAAAAGAACACGAGTTAAGAAGACAGTAGATAACAATTGACATTGTATTTAAATTTTTGAAGATCACAGTCGACTGGTAAGCAAGAAACGAAGACGGAAGAGAGTTCCACAAGCAAGAACTGCGATAGAAGAAACTGTTAGCATAGAACTTGCTGTTACGTCTAGCCATTTCACAATTTAAAAAATATTCGATGTGGTTGTAAAAATATTTGTGAAATAATTTTTAATCCCACTTATTTAAGCCTATAGATTAGAGGTTCTTGAACAGGAGGGACATTCTAAGAACTATTGGAATATTGAGCGTTTCAGGAAGCAGAATTCTACAACTTACCATTTGTGTTAGGCAACGTCAGAGGAGAGGAATGAAGTCCACGGGTTACGACAGTCCCGACGTACGACGATTCGTGGTTATGACGCAATCGTCATAAATCTTGTTTCGACTTATGCCGTTTGCCTCGTACATACGACGCAGACGGAGCGGCGGAAGAATACGTTGTCATACAGCGCGAGAGTGAGGAAGTCAGTTCCTGGTTTTACGCCAAAATGGGTTGTTGTGCATTCGCTCTCTTTCGCTTGTGTTGTGTTTGTGGAAACTTATTGCCCTTCATAACACAAGTGTAACCTCTTCTGCTGGCGGTGCTTCGAAGAAAAGCAAGAGAAAGCCATCACCATGGAAATTAAGTTAGACATTGTCAAATGGTCTGAAATGGGAGAAACAGTGACGGACATTGGCCGATTGTCGTTCGATTTTTATTATGCGTATTATATTTATGTCCCCAATCTGTTGTAGTCCTAATTATGTTAACATATATCATAGAAATGTGTTGTTATGTCCTAAATTATTACTTTACTATGGCGTTAGCATAGATGAGAGACGTGAGTGCTTATTCGTGGAAAATCGTAGGTCCATTCTAACTTACACGGAAAAGCGCGTTACGACGAATCGTAGGAACAGAACTATGACGTTAGTCGCGGAATCTCTGCATGTTAAAAAGTGTTCATAAGCCAAAAAAAATGAAATGGTTGAGAACCACTGCCATAGTTAATTTTCTGATATGTTAATGCACGAATCTAAAGATAATTACTTATGTTTGATTGATATTACGTCAATTATTCATTTACAGGTATAAATAAATTTGACATCAGTGTTGATTTCGTGCAAAAAGAAAGTCATGTTTTTTATATCCCTCAATATCGGAATGCAGAATTAGAGGAATAAGAAATAATACATGAAAATTCTGCACCGTGTAACAACAATCTGAATGTCTTCTGGTTCAGCTTATGTAGCCTAATTGTTAAGAGGCTGTAATATTTAAACAGGTTAGCACTGCGAGTTGCCAATTTGTCAGATGTTTATTTTATTTTATTTTATTTCATGATCTATGTTGTTCATTTGTCAGTGCTAGAATGCAAGCTAACCATTGTCATAAAAGCAACAAACCAAGACAAAAGGAAAACTAGACGTAAAAATATAACAGGTTAGAACCTTTGATTTGGATCGAGATATTTTTTTAAAATTGTGTATAACAATTTTATTATTATTATTATTGTTGTTGTAGTAGTAGTAGTAGTAGTAATAATAATAATAATAATAATAATAATAATAATAATAATAATAATAATAATAATAATAAAAGTGCCTCCTTATTGATATGGCAGTCCCTGCTGACTGCAATGTATCTTTGAAGATATTCAAAAAGCTGTCAAAATACAAATACCTTTAAAAGAGAAATCTCAAAAATGTGGCATATGGGAACATCAACAATCCCTGTTGTAGTTGGAGCCCTAGGATTGGTTGGAAAAGGTTCCAGTAGACTAATTCAAGGGATTCCCGGAAGTCCATGCCTCAAAGAGATACAAAAAAATTGTTTTGACAAGTACAGCCCACACTTTACGAAGGGCCTTATCTATGTAATATTCTTTTTTTTTTTATTGTCAGTGGGAAGTGTCATGACGCCATTTCTAACCTTAGGTCCCTGGGCGGGACCCGGAAAGAAATGTGTAAACGCCAGAAATCAAAGAAAATAATAATAATAATAATAATAATATCATCATCATCATCATCATCCACATTCAGGACTTTCTCATTCTGTATTTCCATGGAGAGTGCTCAGACGAACTACATTCCTTAGTTTCATCAGTTCTAATCTTCACGGCTAAGACCCAGCATGCTATGCACATTGTAGCGAACCACTTTCATTCTCTTCGTCTTCCATTGATGAGATATGCTTCAGTCAAATAGCTTCTCCCCACGAACCACTACTCTGTAGAACCGACTGCCAATACTTCCCCGATCACTACAGTCTTAACCTGTTCAAGTCTAGGGTTAACCGTTATCATCCCCACACATTCGCATAAATTGTGCCTCTTAATCTGTAACCCTCTACCTTGTGTGGCTCTGTCGCCTTGTACAAGGTGAACATCATTTTTTTTAAAAATCATCTTGGAGTGACCAACTCACTCATTGGTCATGTCTTCAGAAGTGTAGCCGTGTCACACTTGGCTATTTGCAGGTTGGGAAGGTTATTTAACCCAATGTTGGAGGATTTGAATTCAGAGTTGTCTTAGTCCTGGACCGGTTGCCAACCAATATTTTGCGACTCGGTTGCTTTCATGTAATGGAGGAAAGTTATTACGCATGCGTTAGCGCGCACTATCTCCCAAGTTACTAAGTCGGCAGGGAGACGCCATTGTGAGTTATTTTTAACATTTTTATCGTCACATTTACACTGTCTGTCTATTCTTTGCTTTGGATGCAGAATTTATGGAAAAACATCCCATCAACCAGGTCTTTTCTCTTCACCCCTTACAGTCTAAATTTAACTCCTCCCAAAATCGATGTTAAAAGTGTGATTTTAGACTGTGGACGAGATTAACGAGAGTGCGACGATGTAACTGATAGCACTTCCAGAAGATCATACAGCAGACCTTGAAGTCTCGAGGGGGGTATTTTGAAGAGAAATAATTGCCAAACTATTGATGTATGTGATCATGCTTCTCCACAGCTTCCCATTCATTTTTATTAGCTGTGAACTGCCTTGACTTTTTGGTTTGGTTGATTTTGTTTAGCGGCCTATCAACACTTAAATGGGTTATTTAATGCCGAAATCTAAATATTTTGTACGCAATTTCATTTTTGGAGATAATAATGATTTTCATGACCCAAGTCTTATTAATTAACACGTATCTGGGGGTGAAGAGGTGGATTCATTCTTTTCCAAACGGTATTTGCGTGAATTTAACGAACCCAATTGGAATTAGAACTCGGCTCTCTAATTAACAGTTCCGAGCCATTACCCATAACACCACCTACACTTCCAAGCTTGCAACACCCAATATTCCTAAGCGTTCACCCATTTAAATACTGACCAGGTTCGACGTTGCTTAACTTCGGTGATCGTACGTAGACAAGTGTTTCAACATGGTGATGTGACCGTAAGCCTTGACTTTTTGTGAAAGATTTCGGAGTGATTTCCCGTTTTGAATTCAGACCCGTCCTCCATAACTGCTTGTATCCGAATTCTAGAGAGCTTAGACAACTTTACTATTTAACTTAGCTAGGGAAAGTAAAAAATGTCTTTTCCAAGGGTATTATTGCTAAAGTGACGTAAATTCTACGTCAGAATTGGAATTTGCTTTTCGGTGTTGATAACTGATACACTACCCACACATGTGGGCAACTGTTGCATATTTCCAGGAGCTTTGGTGTAGGACTTAGCGAGATAGCTTAGTCTGTTTTGCCGGCGTTAAATAACCCATTGAGGTTGATATGCCGTAAAACAAACAGTTTAGTCTAGTTGGCCATAACTATTGAGTAGTGCGTTTGGTCCTTCTCTGTGCACTATTTTAGTGACCTTGTGCCAAACTGAACCGAATGTTGTATATTTCCCATCAGTGTCAGAGTTCGGCGTTGGAGCCTAGACAGGAAGCAATGATGCTGAGTTTTATGGCTGATATGAGTCTATTATAGATTTTAGTCATCAAAATAGGATACGGGAGAGGTTTTTTACGGCTTATCAACCCTTTGTGTATTATCTAAAACTGAAGCATTTTTTTTTGTTTGTAAGTATATTTTTTTCTTGCGAGTGTATAATAATTCTCTTGAGAATAGCAACGATTTCCGCAGTTAAAAGCCATACTATTTAGCACATAATTGGGAGGAGGGGACGAATTCATAATTTTCCCACTATTATATACGCCCAAGTGAATATAACAAACCCGACCAGAATTCGAACCCTGTCCTCCGATTTCTCATTTCAAATGGCTATCTATTACACCAAACGCACATCCGCGATATGAGAGGAAGTCTTTATGTTCTCTTCGCTGAATTGTATTATTTTTTCCGGTCTCTAACTTTTGAATGACTTGCAGATGGAAGCCATTTTCACACATTCACTTCAGACGTTAGGTTTTGTTTTCGAGAAGAAGGCGTGTGGGTGCGTCCGTAAGTTGGACGGGTGAGGGTGAGGCGAAGAAAGGACATGAAAGAATTGGAATGATAATTTTTTTTATGAATGTATTCGTCACTAATACAGACAATTAAATATGAGAACGTTTTTCTTTGAGAGTTTTTTGATTTGTCTGTCTACATGCTTAACTTTATCTAATGGTCTGGCCATCTGAATGTATGAATGTCTGTCTGATCTGTCCAACCGTCTACCCCATGGCCTTTGTTTCAGCCTGATCCGTCTGCCTGATTCTGTCCGTCTGCTTACTTGGCTTTTCATTTCTCTTTCTCTCTCTACCCAAATATGTCGCTGAGTAAGCGAAGCATTTGTAAATATATCCAAAGTGTCCGCAGTCACTTCTTGAATTCATACTATTTGGCATAATGAATTTAAAAAAATCTAAAAAACTTTTTGAGCTAAAAAAAATATCTCTACCATTAATTCCCGCTTCTTTAACTTGTAACACAATTGTATATATTTTCAAAATATCCCATGTATAAATTATCTAACTCTTTTTTTTTTTTGTGGATATATCCAGACCAGTCGAGAAACTGTTGACCTTTGCCATCTCTACGGAGATTTATTAAACTACATATATGCTTATTTTGTTCCATTACCTTTTGTCATCTTCGAGTCAGCTTCATGATTCCATCCTCCTAGAACTTGCTATCTTTCCGGTGATAAATTGGTCAAAGTGATTTTTACAGATTTCCAGAGAATTGAAGTTATCTTCATTAAAACAGCTATCTCGGTAAAATGTCGGAAAGTTAGACACCTCAGTAAAAGAAAAAAAGCTATGAAACATTTATAATAAAACTTAAGTTTATGGTCTTTCTTTTTTACTAATCGAAATCTAAAATAATGGAAACATTCTGATATAACTACTATTTCTAGATTTTAAGTAAAATCAAAAATATTTACGTTTCAAAACTTTATTTATTAAAACACAGTCACTATAAAAAATATCCTTGTCTGTTTGGGAGTCGTAAAAACACAGATTGGTTTCATCCAAAATTAATTGAATTATTGGCTTTTTAATAAAACGTTTAGGATTTTCGTAAAAGATAATATATTTTTTAAAGTAGTCTCTCTTCAAAATTTTAGAGATTTTTTTTTTCGCGCGATTACACCCCACTTATTTAAATTGGTGATTCTCAGTTGTGTATCGAGATAGATTTACATTTTTTTTTTTCAATTTGCACTTGAAAAATAAATACTGAAAAAAATGAAAAAATCGGATAACTAAAAAAGGTCGATGCAGATGCCTTTGGCTTAAAGTTTTGAAAAATAAAATTAAAATATGTCACGTCTTTAACATTTTTATCCTTATTATTTTAATTTATTTTCTAAGTCTGCTGACTTCAAGAGAAAAAAATAAATTTTCTATATTTTAATTAGTTTTTGTTTTTGTAATTTTTGTGATTTAATAATGCCATATCTTTTAAACGCCTTTAATTGTTCTTTCAAAATGTGTATACTATATTAGGAAATATTATTTGGAACTATTCTTAAAAAAAATAGGATATTTTCGGTTAATTTACCCCAAATAATGTAATATTGCAAATATTAATTCACCCCAAGAAATTATAAATTTTAAATCAAAGTTTGTTTGTGATTTTATTAAATTTTTGCCTCTCTTTTGAAATTATAAATTTTAAATCAAAATTTGTTTAGCTTGCCTCACAACAACTCCAACTCTCAAATTATTAAAAAATCAAGGATTTATTCACATTTCCTAAGTGTGGATGATATTCGAGGTACTAAGAAGGAATTTTTTTTAAATTAAAAAAAGGAGAAAAAAAAAAGCTGTTTTTGGCGTGTTTGTCGGGAAAGCGCGAATGCAGACCCCACACTTAGAAATAGTGCACTCGAGTCGCACACATTTGGAGCGGTCACAAAAAGTCAACCCAACTGGAGTGCAATGGAAGAAGCTCTGGGAGAATTTGGTGTGAATTTTAATAAATATAATTTCTTCTTATTTTGGGGCGATTTAATATTTTAGGTGTGAATTCACAGAAAAGATCCAAAAAATATTATACGGTTGTTGATGGGTTATTATTTTTAACTACGGGTGCACAGACTGGTAATCATTTCTGCGTTTCAACTGAAAGATTTTGCACACGTCTTCTATGTAAAACTGCTTTTTTTCTGATTGCTACAACACTTTATTTTGAAAATAAAATAGTTTGCTTCCTAAATTTTTCACATCCTAAAACATCATATCTTTTGATATCATAATAATCATTTTCACCATAAACTCAAATACATTCTCTTGTATGTGAAATATTCTTATATTCCATGTAATTAGCATTTCATGCAACTGAATGTTTTCCAGAATACATTTTTTATAGAAATGATTGGCTTATTTTAAAAAATAATAATCAAAAACAGAAAAGTAATTAGTTTACAAAAAGAAAAATGTTGATTTTTTATTACGGGCTACCATACTTATAAAGGAAGTAATTCAGTCTAGATGTGTCAACTCGAATTTATGTTGCTGTCAGTCAGGCCTGACTGAGGCGAGTCATCGATGTTATAATAATATATTTTTTTAATTTTTTAAATACAATGTGGCATTTTTGTTGTAGTCAAATTAGGTAAATAATATTTCCCATAAAACTGTTTTGATGTTATGATTATTTTAATTATTAATAGATTTTTATTTGTATTTTTTACAATATCGAATTTCTGTCAGTCAGATAACGGCCATTGTGATTTTTGGCGATTCGAAAGAAAATTTGAACTTCGTAACCATTTAATTCAAACTTAATTAATTAATTAAGTAATTAGAAGTATTGTTTTTCCTTTGCAAGTCGCATATTTGGGTTCTCATGTTTAAAATAAACAAAAACACTTTAAATTTTAAAGAAAAAATCATCATTAAATATGTAATTAATATTTTTCGTCATGGTACAAGATATTCATTGAAGATACCTACATTAAGATAATTTTGTATACGTCAAAATAGGTGGTCGTACGAAAGCACAAGGCTTAAAGCTCAGATTAGTATGGTGGCTCACATCATTTTCTCCAGGATCTTTTTCGCTTGATATCGTTGTAGACAATCCATATTTCATCGCTTGGGATCATTGTTTAAAAAGAAAGTGGGGCATTTTTTATTGGGGTGGTAGTTGAACAGAGAATGGCCGATTTAAAAGCGTTCTATAAAACCATCAGGCAAACAAACATCTTAACAATTCTCATATCTAAGTTTTTTCATATGATTTACAACGGTCATATGTGCAGGGCTGCTGCAAGGGTCTCGATAGATAGTATTCAGACAGCAAGTGTCACAAAGCACTGCCCAGGTCTCCAATCAGGCTTGACCCTTCTTCGCCCCGGTTGGAGAGTTCGGAGGTAGTACGCACTAGCCCTGGATATGTTCAATATGATTGTGATCTGCCGTTTCGTGTGACTTGGGTCATTTTTAATCGCTGTTTCAATTTGTTTTCCGTCTTTCAGATGAACATTTCCACGATACTATCAGCTATGGCACCATCTCTATAAACGGCGCTTATTTTTTTCTGCTTAACGGGTTTTTTTTTTTTACTTTTACTTTCCTGAAATACGAGAATATCAAATGACGAAAATGTATCGCATTTGTTAATATTTCTGAAATAAGGTAGTGTAACTACTTACAGTGTTCAGACTATTGTCCTCATCCTTATTTTCATATCTACGACTTTTCGGTCGTTGTAAGCTCCAGCCTTCTTCAGGGTCTCTCTATATTTCTGTGATGAGGTATTGCAACTATTTACATTGTTCGGATTTTTGTCCTTTAGCTTTATTGTCCTATTCACGATGTTTCGGCCGTTGCAAGCTCCGGGCTTCATCAGGGTTTGTTTATATTTCTGTGTAACTATTTACATCGTTCGGACTGTTGTCTTCATCTTTGTTGTCATATTCACTGTGTTTCAGCCGTTGTACGCTCCGGCCTTCTGCGGATGATGGCCCAGTGGATAAAAGCGTTGGTCGAAGAGTTGTGAGTTCA